TTGATTTTCGTGGAATATAATTCTCGATTTTTCCTTCGTGAAGAGTAAGAATTATTCTCGTAAAGGGGCCAAGGGACAAGTGAACATTTGTGTTTGAAATAATCTGGTATTTAATAAATGGTCGTTTTCTCGTAAAATGAATAATTCAGAAATATTCCGCGGATGTAATCCATATTTGTCGAAACTCGAGAATGCAACGCCACGTCCGCGAAATCAAATCTTCCCCGCGATTCTGCCCTACCTTCCGACTGTATCTTATTGCATTCCGCGTTCTATGGATCCCCCGGCGAATATCGTAAAGAAATCTCAGAAAATCTCTTTAACATTCTGTCCGGCGGATTGAAACGTTTCAAGTTTCCAGAAGCAGAGCTCGGTGAAACTGCACAGGCGCGTACCGCGCTGCATTTTGCGCAGTTCTCGATAAAACATACCGCGGTCGCTTGCACTGAAAATCGTCCATCAATCACGGTTTAACTCTCCACAGGAATAACAAAACGCTACGAATAAAACAGGTTCACGATCAAACGAGAATTAAAACTTTCTAAATTTTTTAAAAACACCCCAGCATAAAAGAAACTAATTTTATTATTCATCGTATTATTCGACAATTTAAAAAAATTCAAAACCCAACTTTTCTGCACAGATAGACACAGAAATATCGTAATAAAATTCTAGAAAAAAGATTAACAGCTCCCATTTATCAAAACTAGCCTCCATTTCGTGATTCTCGTAACGTGTTTCTCTCCCTGTGGCTATAATCGTACTGTGCAGAGGTCGAGTGTTGCCGAGTACCCATAAACCCTTCGCCAGAGGCGCGCTGGGATTGGTCCACGCTTCGTCCAATCCCCTCCACGAGTCTCCTGCTTCAGACTCTCAGAGACCACGTCGATTCGACGCTTCCAAGCCAATATTAACGATGCAATTTCAATCGATGACAACTTACGATCTCTGCATAGTACTTCCGGACTCGGTGGATAAACGAGTCGTAAAATTTCATACGCGTCGTTCGTAAAAAAAAAAGGTTCGAACGCTAATTTACTCGACGCCCGCGTCACCTTGTAGCGTCTCGAGTGTCGGCCATTGCACGTCGTCGAAAACGATCCTCGACGCTCGTGTACGCAAGTAACTCGGTTCGACCTTGGTAACACCTCTCAATTGCCGGTTAATTCATGCATTTATGCAGCCGCTGGTGTTTATGTCCAGACCATAAAACTTTCTCCATCAACGCCAGAAGCGTCACGGTACCATCTATGCAGTCTCTTTTTAGCATGATGCCTTTGCGTTGGTTCGAACCTCCTGAATTACGATGGAAAATCGCTAATTAAACGCGGAGACGCGAATCGTTTTCTCTTAGAAGATGAAAACCCATTGAAATCGCGAAACCTTTCGAGTTTGGAGTCATCTTCGACGACGTCCTAACGAAACGATCAAAATTGTAAATTTGTAAATTTATCTCTTGTTACCGAGCAAGCAAATTGACACTAGATGACGTCTTCTTTTTATCGAAACCAGTTATGCTAATATATGTATCGGAAACCTTGTACCAGAGAAATATTAAAATTCAAATTTAAATAGAAGTAGAATAACGAGAAATCTGTGAAGTCGAGATCGAATGATAATTTAACGATGAAAATCACATTTTTGTTTACTTGTTATTATATCTAAGTACTTATATTTCAATTGAAATGTGGTTTAGAGACAAAATAGAGTAATAAAAAATCTATGAAGTTGAAATTCAATGATGCAATATTTTAACGATGAAAACCACTTTTTTGTTTACTTGTTATTATATCTAAGTAGTTATATTTCAATTGAAATGTGGTTTAGAGACAAAATAGAGTAATAAAAAATTTATGAAGTTGAAATTCAATGATGCAATATTTTAACCCAGAAAACCACATATATATATATTTATATACATACATATATCTAAGTATATATATTTGAAATGTGGTTTTCTTCGTTAAAATATTGCATCATTAAATTTCAATTTCATAGATTTTTTATTATGAATTTCAACCTCACGAATCTTTTATTATTTTATTCCAACTCGAATTTGAATTTTAATATTACGTTCGATATAAAGTTTCCTGATTTTATTTTTGTATACAGTTTAGCTACACAACGAAGAGAGTAAAAATCATGTTTTTTCCCATCAAATTCTTTTAAATCGTAAGATTTACATTTTTGATGAAATGATTGAAAATCGATTACTCGAGTGCAATAAACTGTATTTTCCATTGGCGTGTCTCTGGAGATAATTTTTACTGGAACAGATTACTTCGTTCCTTTCCGAATTCTAGACATTCAATGCGTCGACCTCATGGTATCCGGTAATAATTATCGTCTCTTCCGGCACAGTTTCCGTTCCGTGCGACGAGCACGGTCCTCGCTTAAACACTATCTTCTCGATAATTATTTATAATTTCTAAAATAGCCCGGTAATCATTCGTAATTCTTACTTTCTTCCTTCGATTTAATCATACGTTCGCTTATATTCGAGGACCGTGGAGTCGGATATCAAACGTACACGGTGGCCTAATCGAGAGTTCTTAGCGTACCTAAAGTGTTCTAGCAATTTTTATATTAATTATTCGCGTAATTATAGAAATTTTCTTTATCTGAATTTTTAAGTCAAGCAACAAATTTATTTTATAATTATCTGGCTGAATGATCCTTTAATTCATTTTATAATTAAGATACTGGCTGTGAGTAATAAAAAAGAATCGTTTGTTAGGATAATATTCATACTCAATACTCGATTTTTATATTAATTATAAAAATTCTCGTTCATTCAAATTTTTATGTCAAGCAACAAATTTATTTTATAATCATCTGACTGAATGATCCTTTAATTCATTTTATAATTAAGATACTGGCTGTGAGTAATAAAAAAGAATCGTTTGTTAGGATAATATTCATACTCAATACTCGATTTTTATATTAATTATAAAAACTTTTTTTTATTCAAATTTTTATGTCAAGCAACAAATTTATTTTATATTCATCTGACTGAATGATCCTTTAATTCATTTTGTGACTAAGGTACTGGCTGTGAATATTAAAAAAGAATTGTTTGTTAAGAGAATATTCATAGTCAATACTCGATTTTTCTATTAATTATTCGCGTAATTATAAAAATTCTTTTTTATTTCAATTTTTAAGTCAAGCAACATTATTTTATATTCATCTGACTGAATGATCCTTTAATTTATTTTATAACTAAGATAGTGGCCATGAATATTAAAAAAGAACCATTTGTTAAGAGAATATTCATACTCAATACTCGATTTTTCTATTAATTATTCGGGTAATTATAAAAATTCTTTTTTATTTCAATTTGTAAGTCAAGCAACATTATTTTATATTCATCTGACTGAATGATCCTTTAATTTATTTTATAACTAAGATAGTGGCCATGAATATTAAAAAAGAACCATTTGTTAAGAGAATATTCATACTCAATACTCGATTTTTCTATTAATTATTCGGGTAATTATAAAAATTCTTTTTTATTTAAATTTTTAAGTCAAGCAACTTTATTTTATATTCATCTGACTGAATGATCCTTTAATTTATTTTATAACTAAGATACTGGCCAGAAATATTAAAAGAGTTTGTTGAGACAATGTTTATATGCACCCAATCGTTGACTTTCGACATCTTTGGCGCTAATCGTTTAATATTGGAAAAGCAAACGTGGGAAGAAAAAATTCGTCAGTGTCTTCGGATGAACCTGGGTGCCTTGAACTTTAGAGTCGCTTTCGTACGAACGCGTACGCCCCTCGTTTGAATAATTATTCCAGCCGTGTTGGAAATGAGCGCTGTTGGAATCTCTCGACGAAGTAACAGGATGTTTATCTGTGTTTTTAAATAGACGGTCTTTTTTTCTCCAATGACTTGCACGTCGGCGTCTGTCCGCTGTGTTCTCGGTGACGAACACCATTTTCATCTCCGGGTCTCGCGATATGTTTCGCTGGACAAAATGGCGCCCGCTCGCGATCATCCATTTCGTCCCAAAACAGCAGCGATTCTCTTCGTTACCGGGCAAAATAAAATTAGGTAACAAGAGTCTTTGTGGCCCAAATTTTTATGAGCGAAAAACATATTGGGGTCGTCTAAATTATTAAACGAAAGTGGCACAAATTGAGAAGTTTCCGGAACATTGGAGGAGATTTTTATCGAAGATGATCGAGACTTTAATGTGTACGCAATTAAGTTTCTCTCGTAATATTCTACGGTCAAATAATCTGGATAACAAAATGGAACGTTCTTTCCTAAAGTCTATCGTATCCAATTTCTGGTTTAAATTATTATTAATGAAGTGCAATTCATCTCAAAGTATTCCAAATACAAATGGTCAAAAATTGATGCCTTCGAATATTTAGCCACTATTATTTTCATTAAAATTTATAAACAATCCTGTTACCATGTTTTATAATTTTTCAAGCATCACAAACAAACTATTACAACGACTCCACGAATGGTAAAAAATTGATACCTCAAAATACCTAGCCACACTATTATTTTCATTAAAATTTATAAACAATCCTGTTACCAAGTTTTATAATTTTTCAAGCATCACAAACAAACTATTCCAAATACGAATGGTAAAAAATTCCTATCAAAAATACCTCCATATACCTAGTCACTATTATTTTCATTAAAATTTATAAACAATGTTAATTCCTGTTTCACCAAAAAGTTGAGAAATCTAGGCTGAAGAGTTGCACAGTAGGTCCCCAATATGATCGTATTTTGCGATACTAAAATTGTTGTTTGGCGATGTCTAATGGTGGCAGATAATGGAGGATCGAAAAAATGATATCGCGTGTCGGAATAACATTGGGGAAAGTAAAAGTGAGACGAACGCGACCCTGTGATCGCGCGACCAGTAGTCTAGAATCGAGGCGATCGTTTCCCCTGACGGTTTCTCGAAGGTGAGGCCGCAGGTAAGAGGGAAACCGCGGTGCATTTCGATGCAACCTGGCTGGGGCCCCGTAGTTGCAGCCAGTTGCATCACCGACCGGCGTCGCTGCTCGAACGATCCAGCGATCACGGGAAACTCGCGACTACCGACGAGCGTTTCTCCTCTCGTTTCGCGGCGTTTCCTACGCGAAACGCGGAATAATTATCAAACTTTCCCACTCACCGCCGCGTTTCAACGTTAAAACAAACATTTCGAGCTACGTTTCGTACCAAAGTTTGCGATTTCTGTGATCCCTCGAATTTTTTCCAATTATAATTCTGGACAATCGCGCTAATGTCGATCGACGAGAAGTGTGTGATAATAAGAATCGTACGAGGAATAAATAGAGTTCTCCACGAGTCAGTTAATTCCTAAATAATTGTGTTTTCCTATCGGGACTTCGTTTCCGGTTGCATTTGACATTGAGAGTCTGGTTTCCCAAGGTGATGGGAGGATATAAGAACTTCCGGAAAGAGTAGTCGAAAGCCTTGAAAGGTGTTTCTGACAATGTTTTCCCCCCGATTGGCTAAGAAGTCTCTGGCAGGGGGATTTTAGATTGAAAGAATGTCTGTAGTGGGCCTTCAGAGGCAATAAAACCACCATTTTTAGTGTGACCAAAGTTCCAAAATTGAAGAGCAATTGATTAAAGAGTAGTCGAAAGCCTTGAAAGGTGTTTCTGACAATGTTTTTCCCCCGATTGGTTGAGAAGTCTCTGGCAGGGGTCCTCCTGGTCCTCCAGAGGCAATAAAACCACCATTTTTAGTGTTACAAAGTTCCAAAATTGAAGAGCAATTGATTAAATACTGTAATTTCTTTTCGAATCCTCCGTTTGGTAATTTAAAAAAATAATTTTTTGCAAATTAATTGTAAATTCTAAACCTGAATTTTGTATGAAATTTTAATAATCTAGTAAATTCTCATTTTTCACAGAGGTTTCATTAAAACTTAAAATTGCAGAGACGTTCCCAAAAATGCAAAGATAAAAACACCCCCCTAGTGAAATATTCCTAAAAAGCTGCGTCAAGATAGCTTCCAACGGCGAATTAAGGCCCATTTGCACCACCGACTGCATTCAGTTCTCATGCAATAATTTTTAATGGCTAGTCGGTGGTGCAAATGGACCTTCAACGCATTGACTGCCACCTGAACACGAAACTAGAAAAACTAAATTCTCAAAATTAGATCTCTTCACTTTGCACTCTAATATACACCACAACTCGATTTATTTCATATACAGTTAACAGAAATTAACAAAAAAATTAACAAACTTTAAATTGCAAACGTTTACAAATATCTCTGGTGGAAAAAGGACAATTTTAATATTCCTTAAAACAGCAAAATTGTATTCGAGTTGCTTCTATTAAAATGGATTCTTAGAGTGTGAAGATTTACAGAAAATAAATGTAGGACTCTCGAATGTCAACAAAAAGTCGTGGCAGTCAAAGCGTTGACCCCAGGGGCGGAGGAGGCCTAGGAAAAAAAAAGTCCCTAAAAATGAATTCTCTAGATAGACGACGAAACGAGGGATAACAAAGGCGAATCGGCGCGAATAGTCGGAAAGACGCGAGGTCGCGTCCGTTCTAGGAGGTTATCGCTTCGTAGGAGATATCGCGTCGTCGAATGACGAGTCGTAACTCGAACAGAGTCGATCGCGAATGACGCAAGGGTGCACGATGCCGCAGGAGAACGAGACAGCCTCGCTGGTGAACGGCGAGATCGATGGTCGTGCCTCGAACGAGGATCGACCGAGGGAGATCTTCGGGGAGGATCCGTCCAAGGACAAGGTCGATGGTGAACGGCGGGAGGATTTGAACGGGATGCCGGAACTCAAGGACGACGAGGTCCAGACGGACGACGAGGACGAGGTCTCGTTGAACGTGGGCGAACCGTCGCCGGAAGTGATGGAGTACGCCAGGAGGGAGCTGGGGGAGACCGAGGAGGTCAAATGTCAGACCATACAGGAACTGAGGGACATGATTTACGGTAATTGGTGCTTTCTTGGGGGCTCACGGCCCTCCACGATCGCTCTCACGTGATACACTGACACAGTTACTAGCTTGGCGGGAAATTCAAACGTCGATTCTCGGGGAAATCCTTTTTTTAGCGATCTGAAGACGATTCTGTGTCGCTTTGAGACTGTTTCTTACACTTTGGGATTTTTCGAGAGTCTGGGGATGATATTTGATACATTTTGAAAGCGTTTTACCAAGCTTGAATTATTCGAGTCTCGAGGCGAATACTTGAGATATTTTGAGAGTCGAGAGAATCGAATATTATAATATTTGAAAAGTTCTCGAGGCTTCGATCGCCTCGACTGCACTTAAATTTTAAAAAAACCAAATGTTTGTCCAACAGAGAGGGGAGAGTGCCTGCCACACAGGACGGACGACGCCTTTTTGGTCAGGTTCCTCAGAGTGAGGAACTTCAATGTCAATCGCGCGCATCGATTGGTAAGTTAATTGTCCCCGGGATCTCGATAATTTATTCATCGATTCGCCAATTACGAACGCACGAATTTTGTTAATGGCGACTCGTCACGGAGAACCTTTTCTTTTTAGAATCACATGTTTGAGCATCGAAAATGTGTGTTAAAGGCGGGTCTAAAAATAAGCGAACAGTCGGATAATTTACAACCTGGCGGCCGCCGTGACGTAATTCGTTTAACGGGTTTGTTTGCAACACTTGCACAACCACAGCGAGGCGATCTAACCGGTAGCCAGGCATCCAGCGTGATAGAAAACGTAGCCTTTAGAGGATTGACATTATTTCTGTCGGCCCTTTTTATGCAACTCGTGTAATTCTCGCGGGGACGTAAAATTTTTTGCTTCGAATACACCGTGGTTATAATATCAATTTGTCTTTCCCATTGAATGTCGAACAACTGGTACCAGATTAGATTATCACTGATCGTATCTACACTTGTTAATGCAGAATCGAGAATACCGTTTCTTCCAAACGACTTTCAAACGCAATTAGCAGGCAGTTGCCTGGAAATATCAAAGGTTATGTTAAAGGCGCGAAATAAATTAACAACAAGTGGAAGATAATTCAAACGTAACGAGGAAGCTATATTTTTCAGATCACTTAGAGATCAATCTCTTCGTCCATTAAATCCTGACCCAATTGCTCTTCAAACATCTATCGACAAAGCTCGAGTCCTTTTTGTTTAAACAGGGACTCTAAATCAATGTCAATTTTTCTTTCACGTTTAATACCAAGATGTCAGTATAAAAAAAAAAGTTTGCTTTCTTTTAAACGACTACTTTATCGTCAGAGTTTCTTTTTCAAATTAAGTTGCACTTCCAGCCACACATCCCGGACAAAGTACCCGGATAATTGGTGGAGTTCGGAGACAATTGTCCGGGTAAGCTCGTCTTACAACCGTAGTCCTGTCATTGTCCACGATCGAGCAATTACAAACCAATTAACAAACAAAAGGAGTCCACCCTAAAGAGTCTGAATCGAGTAATTCAAGCGCCAGAATGGAACGATTAGTCCCGGACACCCGAGGCTCGATCGAACACCGTTTAGGAATCAGCGTTCGTGCCTTACAACGCCCTCGTTAACGGTTTAACGCTGTCAATTATTCGGCTGATCGATCCGTAGATCACTTTCTACGTTCTATTACGTTCCGTGAAAATGTGGAGGATAAATCCACGGGGCTAGAGGTCCATTTGTATGCACCGACACGACGCAAACTGACGTGCGAAAGGAACGAGAAATGTAGTGTCAGATTCTTGAGAAAAAAGCCCTGGAGGCAAATAATCGACCATTTTTAATCTTCAACTACTATGTCAGGCAATGACAGACATCAGTATAGTCGATAGGTCTTAAATATTTGGCTATAGATATAGCTAAAGTTGAGGATCTCAAGCTTCTTTAAAATTGTAAGTCACTTGAATGGACTTTGAGCATGGAAGACCTAACTCTCATGAATCAATCTATATAAATCACTTTTTTCAACTATTATACTATGCCAGGCAATGACAGACATCAGTATAGTCGATAGGTCTTAAATATTTGGCTATAGATATAGCTAAAGTTGAGGATCTCAAGCTTCTTTAAAATTGTAAGTCACTTGAATGGACTTTGAGCATGGAAGACCTAACTCTCATGAATCAATCTATATAAATCACTTTTTTCAACTATTATACTATGCCAGGCAATGACAGACATCAGTATAGTCGATAGGACTTAAATATTTGGCTATAGATGTAGCTAAAGTTGAGGATCTCAAGCTTCTTTCTAATTGTAAGTCACTTAAATGGACTTTGAGCATGGAAGGCCTAACTCTCATGAATCAATCTATATAAATCACTTTTTTCAACTATTATACTATGCCAGGCAATGACAGACATCAGTATAGTCGATAGGACTTAAATATTTGGCTATAGATGTAGCTAAAGTTGAGGATCTCAAGCTTCTTTCTAATTGTAAGTCACTTAAATGGACTTTGAGCATGGAAGGCCTAACTCTCATGAATCAATCTATATAAATCACTTTTTTCAACTATTATACTATGCCAGGCAATGACAGACATCAGTATAGTCGATAGGACTTAAATATTTGGCTATAGATGTAGCTAAAGTTGAGGATCTCAAGCTTCTTTCTAATTGTAAGTCACTTAAATGGACTTTGAGCATGGAAGACCTAACTCTCATGAATCAATCTATATAAATCACTTTTTTCAACTATTATACTATGCCAGGCAATGACAGACATCACTATAGTCGATAGGACTTAAACATCTGCCTATAGATATAGCTAAAGTTGAGGATCTCAAGCTTCTTTCTGATTGTAAGTCACTTGAATTGACTTTGAGCATGGAGGACCTAACTTTCATGAATCAATCTATATAAATCACTTTTTTCTATTATTATACTATGCCAGGCAATGACAGACATCACTATGGTTGATAGGACTTAAATATCTGCCTATAGATGTAGCTAAAGTTGTCGAGGATCTCAAGCTTCTTTCTAATTGTAAGTCACTTGAATGGACTGAATGGACTTTTTTCAACTACTATGCCAGGCAACGACAGACATCACTATACTCGATAGGACTTAAACATCTGTCTATAGATGTAGCTAAAGTTGTCAAGAATCTCAAGCTTCTTCCCTAATTGTAAGTCACTCGAATGGACTTTGAGCATGGAAGACCTAACTTTCATGAATCAATCTATATAAATCACTTTTTTCTATTATTATACTATGCCAGGCAATGACAGACATCGCTATAGTCGATAGGACTTAAACATCTGCCTATAGATATAGCTAAAGTTGAGGATCTCAAGCTTCTTTCTAATTGTTAGTCACTTGAATGAACTAAATGGACTTTTTTCAACTACTATGCCAGGCAATGACAGACATCACTATAGTCGATAGGACTTAAATATCTGTCTATAGATGTAGCTAAAGTTGTCGAGGATCTCAACCTTCTTTCCAATTGCAAGTCCCTTGAATGGACTTTGAGCATGGAAGACCTAACTTTCATGAATCAATCTATATAAATCACTTTTTTCTATTATTATACTATGCCAGGCAATGACAGACATCGCTATAGTCGATAGGACTTAAACATCTGCCTATAGATATAGCTAAAGTTGAGGATCTCAAGCTTCTTTCTAATTGTTAGTCACTTGAATGAACTAAATGGACTTTTTTCAACTACTATGCCAGGCAATGACAGACATCACTATAGTCGATAGGACTTAAATATCTGCCTATAGATGTAGCTAAAGTTGTCGAGGATCTCAAGCTTCTTTCCAATTGCAAGTCCCTTGAATGGACTTTGAGCATGGAAGACCTAACTTTCATGAATCAATCTATATAAATCACTTTTTTCTATTATTATACTATGCCAGGCAATGACAGACATCGCTATAGTCGATAGGACTTAAACATCTGCCTATAGATGTAGCTAAAGTTGTCAAGAATCTCAAGCTTCTTCCCTAATTGTAAGTCACTCGAATGGACTTTGAACATGGAGGACCTAACTTTCACGAATCAATCTATATAAATCAGTCAAAGAATCACCAAATCAGTCGATAGAATAGGTCTTCGACATAGATCACTCAGAAACATAGTTACACATCCATCGACAAGGATTAATGTCCTGTCTTTTTCTGGAAAGTTTCTCAGCTATTTGCCCAATCGATTTCATTAGGCTCCAAACATCTCTCAACGTGAAACCTCCGCAAATGGAGACCACAAGAAATCATGCGTGCCCAGATACGGCTGATTAGTCGGTTATGTTCACGTTTTGTTGCAATTTGATCCACGGAACGTCGCCGTATAGTATTCCCTCGCCCTTCAAGGTATTATTACGTTCGAGTAAAAAACTCGCGGTGTATCGCGAAGGGCAGGGGAGCACTAATCGACGTCATGAATCGAGTTACACCGACAACGTAAACACGGTCGTTCGCTCGATCTATAGTGGCATTTGGGGTAAATAAACATTCACGGGACTAGATGGCGCTCCTGTCGACAGATGGCGCTGTCTCAGCCATTGGCGTTTGAAAATCTTACAAAACTCAATATTTAGCAAAAATTCATCCCAAATAAATAACAAATCGTGTATTAGATCAGAGGAACTCTTCAATTTCTTCAAATGCAATTGCAAATAGAGCCTCGAAAATGAAATATACAACTTCCATATTTTTCCCGAGTTCTCCGACAAAAAAATGATCGCAAATTTTTTCCTCGTCTGAAGGACCCTTTGACGCAATCGATAGTTTCGAGGTTTCATTCGGGAGGATCCATTTAAACGGATCGTCCCGTACAAGCGAGCCTTTATCCCAGGTTTCCTTTGAAACTTTTCCGTGGCAAAGGGTTCTCGTTACCCCGGGAATCGGAACACGGAACGAATTTACGCCGTTCGTGACGCGGTCGTCGCAATTTCGCGTGTCGTCGCCTACGCCTGGATCGTTAACAGACTCGATCGTGCCCCGTGTCGCGATATTTAACCGAACTTTTTACCCCCCAAACGCGTTCCCGTCGCCTCGTCGAAGCTACCCCGCGATATGCTTGAATAATTGCCGCCCGCGATCTCGTCAGCAGCTCCGCGAGCCGTTCCTTTGTCCCGCTGTTTCTCCCTTCGCAACGACATTAATTATTCGTTGGTCACGGTTGTCCGTTCGGTGACTGGGAAATCTTGATTCGCTTCGTGGACAGGTTTCATCGCGCGACGTCTTCTTGTCCCGGGGGGGGGGGGCTTTATCTTCTGGGTTTTGTTCGCATTCTTCGCCAAGTGGCGCGAAAGTAGTTCCGCGTGCCCGTGCAGGATGATAAATGGCGTCCAGACTTGAGATAAGATGGCGAATGGTCCCGCTCTCGGGTAACTAATTTACTTCCAGCGATGGACTAGAATATTTCGAGTCTCCCTTTTGCACGTTGGAGTGTCTATTTCTTTGTCTCGCGTGGAAATACTTGGTCTTTTTAAAATACTGTTAAATACACTATTAAGATGTTGGAATTGTAATCTTGGAACTTCAAATCTGAATCGGTACGAATCGATAATAGAATATTATTCAAGGTCGATCGAGGTCAAATATTAATTTTGGGTAGATTTTGAAACAAGAAATGGACCTCCGTATATCTCGTATCACGAAATGTAAATGAGTGCTTTGTATAGTTAGGCAACTTAGAAAAGGTCCTCGTAGTGGGAAAACTTCAGTAATTTATAGTCTGACTCGTTTTAAACAGTGTCCATCCCCCACTCGTCCGGCCACGCACAGGCCACGCCCACAAAGTGACATTTTTCACTTCGTCAAGCTATACATATTCGTTCCATTCGCATTCGCGCCACTCGATATCAATTGCAATCGACATCGGTAAGCAGAAAACGAGCAAAGATCTCGTTTCCCCGATCCTAACCTGAAATCGCGCGACAGGAAACGGCAGTACCGTACAGTAGACTGTTAATCGTTCAAAGTTGCCTCCGCAGCCAAACGACCGAACTTCAGCCCCTTCCTCTCAAGGGATCTTTCGATAGATAGTGAATTACTACAACTTCAAAGAGGAACACCCAGAGATCCATCAGAATGTGAACCCAATGGACATGAGGTATATCGGGGACGACGACGTGATGACGGTGCCGGCGTACAGGACCCAGTGCGGCAGAAGAATGATGATCTATCGATTGGGGAACTGGGATCCGAGGAAGTATTCCGTGGAGGAGATCTTCAAGGCCACGGTTATCATTCTGGAGCTGGGCGTATTGGAGCCCACCGCTCAGATTCTCGGCGGCGTCGCCATTTTCGATCTGGAGGGCATCACGATGGCGCATGCGTGGACCATCACTCATCAGGTACTATTTTCTACCCTTTCCTCCAAGCATTTTGCAACAAATTCTATCGACTTCTGATCATCAACAGTTGCATTTTATTTTTCTGACAATTTTCATCCCTTTCAGTTGGTCATTTTGGAGATTTCTTCTGTGATTTGCTTATCGTACGCCATTTGCAATTTCATTTTTCTGACAATTTTCATCCCTTACAGTTGGTTATTTTGCAAATAACATGAGAGACTTAGATTTTCCTTTAACAGTAGGAACTTGGTTTTTTTTTGGGGGGGGGGATGTTACCAAAATTCTCTGTCTGGATTTCTAAATTTTTCGACTCCACGCGTTAATTCTAAAACAGTTTATTCAAATTTGAGCTCTTGGTACTTCCTGTGAGGCTCATTTTAGTGCAATTATTCACCAGAATATAATCGAAGCTCCCCCAGACAGGAGGATCGTTCGCGAATTTGGTTAATAACGATTTAAATTGAACGCCAACCGGCGCACTAATTTATCCGCGGATACCGTCATCGATTTGCTTTCAGCGTTCTTGAAAGTTGAACCATTTATAATGTCCTTGAAACTAATAGTCCCTCCTTTTATCTGGCCACCTCCTGTTACATTTATTCATCCCGCGCGAACCTGGGCGGAGTGGCCGTACGGGACCCCCCTCCTCAGGCACTAATGGTGTCCTTGAAACTTCAACAATCCGTAAAGTTCTCGACACCGATATTCTTCCGTGCGTCTCCCGAGTTCCTCCGTCCCTCTCTTCGACGCATCGTCGGCCCCGGCGATGGAACAAAACGAGCTTGCGAACGTTTATCGACGCCCCAGATGGGAAACTTTCGGGCGCAACCTGCTCGTCCCGTCCATCGTTGGCGCCGATCGAGATTCTGATCTATATTTTCCTTTGGATCTCAAGTTTAACGACGCGTGTATCGTGGAATTTAATAAGAACAGTAGTAAAGCGTGGCGGCCATGACAGGACATTCAGAAGAATTTCAAATCGTTCTATAAAAATTATTTTTAGCTGCGAGGGGTGATTGCAATCATTTTTTATGAATACATGTACCCCCGAATTCCTACTCGTTTTCGAGAAAAAAATTCATTGCCGAAGATATAATTGGACGAAAAAAAAAAAATTTCATATCGTTCTGGAAAAATTATTTTCGGTCGCGGGGTTCAATTACAGTAACTTTTGGTGAATAGACATACCCCTGAAATCCTACCCAGTTTCGAGAAAAAAATTCGAGAAGGTGTGAAATTTTTCGACAAAATTAAAAAATTTCAAATCATTCTAAAAAAATTATTTTTAATTGCAGGGGTGAATTATAATCATTTTTGGTGAATAGACATACCCCCAAAATCCTACGCACTTTCGAGAAAAAAATTCATTACCAAAAATGTAATGTCTGACCATAAATGATTCCCCTGAAATGCTTATCTTTAAAATGCCATAACTTTTGAACGGATTGAAGGATTTTAATGTTTCAAAAGGCAATCAACGCGTATTTTAGTGACGAATATGTAGAAATTCTAACAATATTGAAAAACTTATTCCTCGAACCCGTGAAGTGAGAAAAACCCCATGAAAATGGTTCAATTTTCAAACAGCCATAACTCCTACAATAGTGAATATATTTCAGTGAAACTTTTTTCTGAAGTAGGGCTCATGGATACCTACAAAAGAATATTAGATAACTTTTCTGTACTGCGCCAACCAAATTTATTAAAAATGAAAAACGAATTTTTAAGAAAAATCGACGGGGGGTAGAGGTGCCTAAATTTTTCGGCGAAAAAAAAATTTCAAATCGTTCTAAAAAAATTATTTTCAGCTAAAGGGGTCAATTACAATAATTTTTGATGAATAGACAAACCCCCCAATTCCCATGCATTTACGAGAAAAAAATTCGAGTAGGTGCTGAAATTTTCGGCGAAATTAAAAAATTTCGAATCGTTCTAAAAAAATTATTTTCACCTAAAGGGGTCAATTATAATAATTTTTGATGAATAGACAAACCCCCCAATTCCCACGCATTTACGAGAAAAAAATTCGACTAGGTGCTGAAATTTTCGGCGAAATTAAAAAATTTCGAATCGTTCTAAAAAAATTATTGTTACCTAGAGGGGTTAATTACAATCATTTTTGGTGAATAGACATACCCCCGAAATCCCACGTATTTTCGAGAGAAAAATTGTAGTAGGTGCTAAAATTTTCGGTGAAATTAAAAAGTTTCAAATCATTCTAAAAAAATTATTGTTACATAGAGGGGTTAATTACAATCATTTTTGGTGAGTAGATATACCTACAAAATCCTACGCCCTTTCGAGAAAAAAATTCATTACCGAAAATCCAATGTCTGATCAATGTCTGAATGATTCCCCTGAAATTTCATGCATACGTTTAAAACATTCTAATTTCCGAACGGATTGGACGATTTTAACGTTTCAAAATGCAAACGACGCATATTTTGTTGAAGAATATGTAGAAACTCTAAGAATATTCTAGAAGAAACTAATAAACGACAAGAAACTAAGGTTTTCCATGGTTTTTGCAGGTGGCCAGTATGGTGATAGCGCTGATGGTGTCGGCGTTCCCCATGAAGACGCACGCGATTCACATTCTGCACCAGTCGTGGGTGTTCGACGTGATGTTCGCGGTGTTCAAGCCGTTCCTGGACGTGAGGATGCAGAACAAGATTTTCTTCCACGGCAGTAATATGGACAGCCTCCACCAGCACATCTCGCCGACCCACTTGCCGAAGAAGTATGGCGGGACTCGGGAGGAATTGCCTTACTACAAGTGGATCGACAACCTCAGCAAAGCCCCTAAAATCGTCAAAGAGATGAAGGAACTCGGTTACATAGTCCCCCCGGAGATCCTCAAGAAAATGGGTCAACCTCCCAAGGACTGAGGAAGAACCCGAGCGATCTATTACTTGCACTTTTAATTAACGCTTACACTCGCTTCCCGGTAACACGCGCGACCCCTAAACGGTCGCAAACCACCCCCCACCCCCCACCCCCCCCTCGCTGGATAACACGGATCATTATCCGTTTGGTTTAAATTCTTAATATCCCTAACTCGGAGCTCGTTCTCCCTTTTCCCGATTTAGTTGCTAGACGTTGGTTTTTGAAACAGTATGGTTTACTTTTATTCTCACGTTCATTTTGTTACGCGCGATTCTCCTCTTTTTACTCTCGATTGCGAAACCGGAGTATCGATTAAACGCTGTAAGGTAGTGATTTTCTTGTCTTTCGCATTATCTACGAAGTTTCGCGGTGTAGAACCGTCACTGGGTCGACGATCAATTTAAAATTCACACTCGAGGGCCGCGCCGCGGTCGACGAAGAAGACAAATTTCCTGCTGAAAGTCCTTTCAGCGATCCCCCCCCCCTGGAGCCTAGGCGAACGGTTCATCCATAATTATGAGTCCTACTGACGAATCGATCGATCGAATCCAAAGCGTAAATACGCCTCTATTGCTTCTGATTTCAATATTTTAAATCGACGGTGAATAGTCTCCCGTCGAACGCCGTAATTGACGATTATAATCGCAAAATAACTTCCGCGGCTCTTGAATTATTTAGGCTTTAAATATCCCGCGCGGAATCCTCCGCTCGTGTTCTACGATTTGATCGTATCGTCTCGGAAAATTCGCCTTTCCCACGAAAATAGAACTCGCGAATCGAATCCGGGAAACATTTAAAGCTCCCATCCACCGTGGCGTTCTCTTTTGTAAATATATGATCCGTCGATCTTAATTTACTCCCGAGTCTCTACGAGCTGCGAAACTTGTGCAACTTGTTTCGCGTCGAGAAAAGAAATTTTTGTACCTGTCTCACACGACGTGGAATGAATTCGAATGTAATGCAAATTGCTCGTAGTTTAATAAACAGGAGAAAAAATTGAAAATGTATAACCATGTATTTTTTATCAAATGAAACAAGCACACGTTGATGTTAAACACGAGTATGTAAAATATTCTGCTTCGCAGAATTTTTAAATAACTATGTAAATACATCCGTAGACTTCTGGCGGGAAAATTTGAAAATTAGATTTCGTTACGATTTTCAATGTCTTGTTGTCGTTCTGTTTTCGAGATGCGAGCAACGAATTATGAAAAATTAACGTCGTCGAGTTCTTTATGAGGCGAGTGGAAGGTAAAATAAGGGCTATCAATCTTTCGCGATAAAATACGGCGTCAGAATGTCGATGATCTATTAATAAATGATTTAAGGGAATAAAGAGCGTAATCCAATCGGCCCGAGGGAAACATCTTCATTCAGCTGGACAGCTGTGGGAACGAGCATCGAGTAATTATAGCCACCTTTCAGTGAACATGACGAATTCAGTATCGATCGAGGAGATCCTTCTTTCGGCGGGAAATCGTTATTTTCTCAATATTATCGCCGTAAACGAATCGCTGAATCTTTAAAACTCGACGTTCTATTGGCTTGTAAATGTGTCGGGCAAAATATACTCCAGAATTGATAAACAACGAAATACAAAGAGAAAACAGAAAATAAAAAGTGGACATATCGTACTAACGAATTTCAGAATATTAATTAACAGTTAATTTTAAATTGGAAGCTTCTAAAATTAGAACAAGGTTTCTAATCACGTTGTTAATGTGTCTATTCTTTTAGCAGTCCCATAGTTTCCCATAATTTTTTGGAAATTATTCTTTCAGATTTAAGAAGAAAAAGAATCAGTTTTAAAATAAAAATATTTATAAATAATAAATATATAATAATAAATTGGAAGTTTCTAAAATTAGAACAAGGTTTCTAATCACGTTGTTAATGTGTCTATTCTTTTAGCAGTCCCATAGTTTCCAATAATTTTTTGGAAATTATTCTTTCAGATTTAAGAAGAAAAAGAATCAGTTTTAAAATAAAAATATTTATAAATAATAAATATATAATAATAAATTGGAAGTTTCTAAAATTAGAACAAGGTTTCTAATCACGTTGTTAATGTGTCTATTCTTTTAGCAGTCCCACAGTTTCCCATAATTTTTTGAAAATTATTCTCCAAACTTTCAGATTTAAGAAGAAAAAGAATCAGCTTTAAAATAAAAATATTTATAAATAATAAATTAAGTTTCTAAAATTAGGACAGGGTTTCTAATCACGTTGTTAATGTGTCTATTCTTTGAGCAGTCCCATAGTTTCCCATAATTTTTTGCAAATTATTCTCGAAACTTTACTTTCAGATTTAAGAAGACAAAGAATCAGCTTTAAAATAAATAATAAATATATAATAATAAATTGGAAGTTTCTAAAATTAGAACAAGGTTTCTAATCGTTAATGTGTCTATTCTTTTAACAGTCCCATAGTTTCCCATAATTTTTTGGAAATTATTCTTTCAGATTTGAGAAGAAAAAAAATCAGTTTTAAAATAAAAATATTTATAATTCCACTTGAAACAATGTCTCAGAGGATCTATAGAATATTGCACGTAAATATAGTGACAAGAAACGTTTTGAGCCTTTCTGTTCCAGCTTCCTGTTCGTTTCGAACTCCGTCGCCATTTTATTTGCAGCGAGAAACGATCAGAGTATGCACGAGGGTACATGTTTCGAGCGTAGTGCAAACAACTATAAAGAATGCCTGACCGAATGTTTACAGTGCGGGATAAATCCGTCTCTTCGACCATAAATTACGTTTCCGCTATAGCAAAGTTATTCGACGCGAAATACCGAATTTATCCTAACGATCTAATGACTTTATGACACTACGACGACAGAGTAGTTAATTTTCTGCAAAAGTAGAATTTTGGTCGATGCAAAACTGCTGGATAATCTCGTGGCGACGCTTATAATTAGCGTACTCGCCGCCAGAGGGCTACGCTGCTCTTGTTTCTCTCGCAAGTGCTCGACTACTAATCTGAGTTTCGACGTTTCATTGTTCTGACATTCGAGGCTCAAAATGGACAGAGGCTCCATACTTGTGGAAGCTTTTAAAGCGTTGACAACAAAGTTATGTTGCTATAGTTCCTCTGTAAATTAATTTGGGGAAGCTCACACTTTCGATAGCTTCGATACAACGTTCCATGTTGTTTCCAAATGTGTGTACACGAATTCCTGATACGGTTTAAAATTTCGTGTATAAAAATTACAGGATGACCAAAAAATAGTTTCTCGAATTTTCTGAAACCAGAGTGGTGTGTGTAGAGTGTACAAAATCGTATGGAATTAGGTCTTGGTAAGCTCCAAAGCGTTCATATAAATTATAGTAGTATCCTAATCGACCCAAAGATATTGAACGATTAGTATACAGGGTGAGACGCGAACTATCGAAGTTAATCAGTATTTAACCTAAAATAAATTGCAGTTGCCTAAATTTAAGAACAAAGTGATTTTCAAATGATACTTTTAAACTAGGTATTTTTAATTTCATGATATTGTAAGTTCATTTGTTTATTTCAAATACTATGGCAATCTCGATTCATCTAAAAGTCATCAAGACGCGAATTAGGCCTCGAAATCTATCAAAGTTAATCAGTATTTAACCAAAAATAAATTCCAGTTGCTTAAATTTAAGAACAAAGTGATTTTCAAATGATACTTTTAAACCAGGTATTTTTAATTTCATAGAATTGTAAGTTTATTTGTTTATGTCAAATACCATGGCAATCGATTCACCTAAAAGTCATCTAGCATCGTTATAGTCACCTACATCACTGCCAAGTTAAAAATACCTAGTTCCATTTAAAAATATACCAGTAACCTTAATTTTTTATCGAAAATCAATTTGTTTTTAAATTTAAGCAGCTGTAATTTCCCGTCGATTAAATACCGATCAACTTCGACGGGAAACATTTTTCGTCAGACTATCCAAAAGGGGCTGAACCATCGTGGAACTCGTGCCTCACCCCTGTACAGGGTGACCAAAAGATCCCCCAGGTCTCGGCCAGGCCAGCGGCGTTAATCCTTTCAGGACGTTGCCGGATAAATTCTGCGAGAGGGGGTTAGGTTCCGAGCGATAAGAGCAGCGTAACGAATGTACCGTAAGAAACGCGATAAGAGGGATGACTGGGCACGCGAACGGAGCTTTCAATTATCAAAGTTTGACGACCCGTTAACGGATCAACGGTGCAGGGAACGGTGGCTGGGCGGAGATCACGGCGGATCCTGTCGAAACAATCGAACGAGGAGGAAGAGGACGCAAAAAACGAAGGAGACCTGGGGGGTGGGTAGGGGGAGAGGGAGGGGGTTGAGGTGACCGACATCGAAGCAATTCATGGAAAACGAGCGAGTCGGAAGGGTGCAGCTGGGTCGGTAGGTACGCGTAGGTAGGGCAGAGAGTGCGGGGCGCAGGTAGGGCCTGGCGTGTACGCGCTGGGCTTTTGTGGTGGTTGATATCGACCCGCGGCGGAGGGTCGGAGCTGTCGGGGGTCGCATGGCGCAAGCCTGGACGGGAACGAGGGCGAGGTGGTGAACGGAGGCGCGAGAGGCGCGCGCGGAGACGGATGGAGAGAGAGTGGCTCCGCTTCCCTCCGAGGAGTGAAGAGAGATTACCGGCAGTAGTAACCCGGCCAGTACCCCGCGCGCGGGTGCAGCTGCATCCCGAGGAACCCCCGGTGTGTGTGAGAGTGCGTGAGAGAGAGAGTGGCCAGGAGTCACGGCGTGCCGAGCACCCGGGAAACGATCCGCCACGAGGAGCCCTGGTGCAGCACCGACAGGGTATCGTGTCACCCCGGTGTCGCCGCGGTGTCCAGCATCCGTGCAAGGCCACCTCGAGGGTGATATTACCACCCTGGTGGCGTCGGTGGTCGGGCACAGCTCGCGATGTCGACCGTGTCCCCGTGGGTGTAGAACGCGACGGTATGAATAGAGCGTGAGCAATACCGGCCGACGAGAACATCGAACATGTCGCGGAGATTCGAGGCCTCGAACGAGGATTCGTACCTGAGCGCCGGCAGGCCATCGAACCTCCTGCGTACCAGCTTCACCAACGCGAAATTGGAGTCCCTGTACCGTTCCTCGTCCCTCCAGCAACGTCGCGGCGGCCTCAAGTGCTTTCTGCTGTCCGCGTTGCTCTACGGCGTGCAGACGATCGCCTCGCCGGGGCAGGAGCTACCGGCCCGCGGACTCACCGTCGTATTCCTGGGACTGAACCTCGGTCTACTGGCCTGGGCGGAGCACAACCCGAGGGCCAAGGATGTCCTATGGTCGGTGGTGCCTCACGTGGCCTGGAAGCTGTCCACCGCACAGCTACTCAAACAGCTGTTCCTCAAGTCCAACGAGGTCACGCCTAGGGACGAACTGGGATGGTTGTTGCTCTTGCTGTACCTGCAGTTCGCCACCCTGCCCCTCAGGCTCTCGCGATGCGTGCTCATCGCGTTCGGGACTGCGCTCAGTTATATCGTCGCGGTGGTCGGGCTGTCCAAGGTGCCTACCCAGATACCCATCGATGTCTTGGTAGGTTTTTCTTGTTTGCAGATTTATGTTGGGCGTGGGCACGTTGCCGATATACTCGACACTTTCAGGATCAAAATTTGGTTACTGTTGTGAAATGCAACTGTTCGAGGCCATTAGCTCTGGTACTTATCTGTATTTTCATGGGTTGGGATGTGTGGATTGATGTTGGGCGTGGAATGTCAATAGTTTGCAGAGACACTTGATACTTTCAGGATCACAATTTGGTTACTGTTGTGAAATGCAACTGTTCGAGGCCATTAGCTCTGGTACTTATCTGTATTTTCATGGGTTGGGATGTGTGGATTGATGTTGGGCGTGGAATGTCAATAGTTTGCAGAGATACTTGATACTTTTAGGATCACAATTTGGTTCCTGTTGTGAAATGCAACTGTTCGAGGCCATTAGCTCTGGTACTTATCTGTATTTTCATGGGTTGGGATGTGTGGATTGATGTTGGGCGTGGAATGTCAATAGTTTGCAGAGACACTTGATACTTTTAGGCTCACTAGTTGATTCCTGTTGAGAAATACAACTATTAGAGACATTTGCCCTAATATTATCTATGCTTCTGATGGGTCGAGGTCTGTAGATTGATGTTGGGCGTGGAATGTCAGTAGTTTGACGATAAATTTTGCAAAGACACTTCCTACTTTTAGGATCAGATACAACTATCAGAGACATTCGTCCCAATACTCATCTACATTTCGATGTTTCGAGGCGTGTAGATCGATGTTTGACGATGAGTTTTGCAAAGGAATAGTTGCACTTTTGAGACGACAATTGGACACCTGCTCAGGATCATAACTGATTATTATTATAATCATACACACCTGCCTATAGATACTCATCTATGTTTTGCTCTAAGTTTTTCTCTGCAGATTGATGTTGGGCGTGGAATGTCAATTTGACGATGAATTTTTGCAAAGATTCCTGCCATTTCCAGGATCAGAATTCAGTTCCTGTTGAGAGACCCAACTATTACAGACATCTGCCCTAATATTTATCTCCATTTGACTGGGTTGAAGCGTGCAGATTAATATTTGACTCGAGAAGTCTTTGATAATGGACTTTGACGATAACTGATTACTATTTGAACTGTACACCTGTTCAAACACTATGTTTTTCCAGGTTATTGTCTGTAGATTGATGTTGGGGAGACAATAGTTTGGAGTTGGTTCTCGCAGGAAGTTTGAGGACGTTTGAAGAGCTTTTCTCATACCCAGAAACGAAATTGTTCGCTTGATTGTTTGTTCTATGATGTACAGAGCAATTGGTACCTTTGAGACTGTTGATTCGTGCTTATTGAGGAATGTGTCTATTGATTGAACTGTTTACAGTTCTAGGTATAGGTGCTTATCTAGAATTTCGGTAGATTCGTGTCTCCCAACTGATATTGGGGGGATCGATGGTTCTACGACGGATATAGCCAATTGTAGTTGACAGTTTTGGGACTAACGACTTTCCACTTGTCCAGAAATCCATCAGTTCGATTGGATCGCTCGCGATACGTGGTTAGGCACCTAGTTAAAGTTTCAATAGGTTAGCGTCTATAAATTGGTATTGATTCAGAGACGGCAGCTAATGCCTTTGGCATTAGAGTTTTCGTACTTGTTGAGTAACGTGTTTGATGATTCGTTGAACCGAATAGTTGGCTGGGATTCCTGCGTTTGGCAAGCTTCCGTCTGCAAATTTGTCCCAGGAACGTCAAAGGCCTAATTTTACGAAGACACTTCTACTTTCTTGCGTTTACGACACGTTTGTGTTTTTTTTTCAATTTCAGTTTCGTCGTGCTATCGAAGAATTCGTTCTTGAAAACAGATTTGATCGATTGCAACAGAGTTTGTCGAACGGAAAGGGGGTTGATACCCCCGTCGACAGTGATGGAGCACGAATTTGAATATACCGAGAAACTTTGCAAACTAATTTTAGTGGGAATCGAAGACAGCAAATTTATATATCCAGCCTCACCGAAAATATTGTCTGACGTTGGAATTAAGAAGCCTCGAGCCCTCCAGGATTCAATCCCACTCGAGCCATCGATTAGCCATCGAATCCTCGATATCTCCAAACGTCAGGCTTTTCAATCCACGGGCTCCGATCAGTTCTTAGCACGGCTGAATTATTTTCGTTTAATATATCAGGCGAATAATGCGCTGCGTTCGATAATTAATTTCGAACAGGAAATTATTCTCCACTTTTCATTTAATTATGAAGAAAATCCTTTTTAAATTTATAATAATCGATGCTAGATTTACAGAGTCAATTTGAGTAGTGTCAAAGATTTCATACTCAATCTTCCATTCGTAAATATTAAATTTCATCGATGCAATCGTATTTCAGTTCGACTGAAATTTTGTTTATTTATCGAAGTCTAATCAGTTTTTAACGCAGCAGAATTAAATATTTTCGTTTAATATTTCAAGTGAATAACGTACACAGTGTCCAATAATTAATTTCGAACAGAAAACAATTATTTCTTTTAAATTTATGATAATTTTATCGATGCAACGATACGAATGAATTAAAATTCTAATCGAAAGAAAAATCGTATTTAAATTCGACTGAATTTTTTTTTTATCCATCCAGCGACCTTTGTGTATAATATTTCTGTTTCTGCGGAGGACACGCGATTGTTCGGTGCAGCGTATCGAATGTTATTACGTTTCGTGCCATTTTAAGATTTTTTAGCTCGCTGCTCGAGCAACCGTAGTATCAAACACACGACACCGGTGGGATCGCTCGGTATTTCGTAGTCGCTCGAACTTAATACCGAGTAATTCAGTGGTCGCGGTGGCAACGTGAAATCAGAAACGTAGCCTGTGATTCAGCGTGATTGCGATCCGCCTCGCAGAAACAACTGTTGCCCGCTGGAGAACCGCAGTGAGCCAATTCGTCGACGGCTAGAGCCCGGGTCTGTAGACCTTTACGCGTGTCGATCGATCGATACGCAACACGTTCGCGAACGATACATCGCGGAATAACTCGAACGATTCTCCGCGTTCGACTACCGCGTCCTACAAACTGTCACATACAGGATATCCGGTCAAACCTGGGAAAAATTTTAATAGGGGATTCTACAGGCTAAAATAAGACGAAAATCAAGAATAGTAATTTGTTGATGAAGGCTTCGTTAAAAAGTTATTAACGTTTAAAGTTCCAAACGTACTGAATTTTTTTTCTCGAAAATGCGCATGATTTCGGGGGTATGTCTATTCACCAAAAATGATCGAAATTAACCACTCTAGGTAACAATAATTTTTTTAGAATGTTTTGATATTATTTAATTTTTTCAAAAAATTTCACACCTTCTGGAATTTTTTTCTCGAAAGTGGGTAGAATTTCGAGAGTATGTCTAATAGCCAAAAATGATTGTAATTAACCCCCGCAAATGAAAATAATTTTTTTAGAACGATTTGGAAGTTTTTAATTTTGTCGAAAAATTTCTAACTTTCTCGAATTTTTTTCTTGAAAATGCGCAAGATTTCGGGGGTATGTATATTTACCAAAAATGATTGAAATTAACTCCTCTAGGTAAAAATAATTTTTTTAGAATGATTTGAAATTTTTTAATTTTGTCGAAAAATGTCACACCTTCTCAAATTTTTTTCTCGAAAGTGGGTAGGATTTTGGGGGTATGTCTATTTACCAAAAATGATTGAAATTAACTCCTCTAGGTAAAACTAATTTTTTTAGAATGATTTGATATTTTTTAATTTTTTCAAAAAATTTCACACATTCTGGAAATTTTTTCTCGAAAGTGGGTAGAATTTCGAGAGTATGTCTAATAACCACAAATGATTGTAATTAACCCCCGCAACTGAAAATAATTTTTTTAAAACGATTTGGAAGTTTTTAATTTTGTAGAAAAATTTCTAACTTTCTCGAATTTTTTTCTTGAAAATGCGCAAGATTTCGGGGGTATGTATATTTACCAAAAATGATTGAAATTAACTCCTCTAGGTAAAAATAATTTTTTTAGAATGATTTGAAATTTTTTAATTTTGTCAAAAAATGTCACACCTTCTCAAATTTTTTTCTCGTAAGTGGGTAGGATTTTGGGGGTATGTCTATTCACCAAAAATGATTGAAATTAACTCCTCTAGGTAAAACTAATTTTTTTAGAATGATTTGAAATTTTTTAATTTTGTCAAAAAATATCACACATTCCCGAATTTTTTTCTCGAAAGTGCGTAGAATTTCGAGGGTATGTGTAATGACTAAAAATAACTATAATTGACCCCCGCAACCGAATATAATTTTTTCAGTACGATTTGGAATTTTTTAATTTAATTGTTAATAACTTTTTAACGAAGCTTCAGTCAAGAAAGTAATATTCTTGATTTTCGTCTTATTTTGGGCTCTAGAATCTTCCATTAAAATTTTTCCCAGGGTTGTCTGAACACCCTGTATAACGCCTCGAAAATTAACCAGAATTTGCGTTTTGACAACTAAAAAAAAACACACATGGAATTTTTTGGTACTTGGAATATCGACTATGATTAGTTTAGTTTCTCAAAAAACATCGATTTCGAAAATATATATTATTATGAAACAAAATTTTTTATTATAAATTTTTCGACTTGTTTCTCAATGGGGAATCACCATTGTCGATTTCACTACGAAATGATAATTTCTTCTATATAATAAAGTGAATTAAAAACATTGAAACAAAGTATAGGAGAATAGTGAAATTAGTAAAATTGTATATTTCGATGGTTTTTGTACAACACGTGGATGTTAGTAATAACGTTTCGGTTGTGTAACGTTTGGTCGATCGACTGAATTGATCGACCTCGAGTCGATCAAAATCGCACGTGTAAACACAATGTCCAAGTTGAAACAAGTTCTGATCGTTCGACTAGAAAGAGTCTATTCGTCTATTTCTGATCGAGCGATCGTTACGGCTGCACTCGATCGTGTAAACATTGGAAAAGTTGCCTAACGATTTGCAAGACTGACGAAATTAAATTGAACAACGAATTTAATAAATTGAACCAACT